CACGGGCCCTGTGGCTGGGGCCGAAGTAGTGCAACTCTACTTGGTGCTACCCGGCAAGCCAACGAGGGAACAGAGGATGGGGGACTTTCCAAGGCGTTTGGAGATGCAGGGTCCCGACCATCAGACCCCGCTTGGAATTAACAGGTCCAGGTAATAGGTAATAGGTTGGGCATGCACACAAAGGAGGTCTTCAAAGGCATGCAGACAAACCGCGTCAACAATGTGTTCTTTCCGCAGCAGCAATCTTGTTGTATACACACTTTAAATATCTTAGATTAAAGGAAGAACTTTCCAAACACTTTAAAGAAGAACTCTAAACAGTTTTATAGAAAAAGTTTACAATGTTCTATAAAGAACTTGTCAACATGTATGTCCTAACACTGGCCGAACAATAGTATAAAACTACAGTTTCCTTTTGTATTTATAAATGACAACCGTTTGTCGCCCGAACACTGACCGAACACTAGCATTTTTTGTAAACTGCTTTCCTTGTTTGAGCATTGTAACATTGAGAATAAGTTGTAAAATAAACTTGCAACTTTAATATAAAAAATATATGTTGAAAGAAGTTGAAGCTTACCAAAAGAAGTTCAAAGTTGCAAAAACATGACATAAAGTTGTTGCTATGTCTGTGTTACGTATAGGCTTGTTCCAGGCACAACCATCGCAGACCTGTTGAAAACACTCAAGTAATAGGTCTTTGAGTTGTTCTTTTCCTCTCCAATGAGTCTATGATGTTATATTTTGTGCTGTTTGAATCTCATGCTGATTCTTCCACCTGATGACATCGTACACTCCTGCCCCACAATGAGCTGATTTGACGGCAACAAAGCCGTTTCGATTTTTTTGGTGTCAGTGTTTCTTACAAGATATGCATATTGAATCTGCCATGAAACCACCACTTCAACCCCAAAAATATCCAAAAGCCAGAGTTCGAACTGGCGGATTCGTGTTAGAACCTGGCATCCCACCTGTGCAGGAGGGTGAGAACCTCAGGCACTTCTCGTGGGATTGGTGTGCAAGCGATGGGTTTTTCTCGGGGTGAAGAGTTCTGGTACGACCCCGGCTGCGCCACAGGACAGTGGAAAATGGTGATCTGATATCCCTGATATCACAAGTCTTCCAGGGTTGCACACCAGACTCCTGCCGTGCGGACGTTGATACCCAACACCTTGGGATGGCCGTCTCATGCCCAGACTCCTCCCATGTATCGGACGTACGTGTCGCATCCTCGCTGCTGAGAAAGGTTTCCTGAGGATTTGGGCCAACCCAAGAAGGGCCTGCTGCGAGGCTTTCAAAAGGCGCCAGCGCCGAAGGTTCTGGCGAACCACCTTCTTCTTGGGCCGTGGGGGGCCGTGGGTGGGGTGGCAGACGCCAGACCTGAAGAATAAGCAGGTATATAATATATATAGAAAAGAAATGGGAGGAGTCGTGAGAGTCCACGCGGGAGAATCCATTTGTCGTCCACCTGACATCTAGAGTCTCTAGAGTCTAGAGGAGAACCCTTTGCAGAAGAAAAACTGAGGTGCTGATCTTCGTCAGGACTTGTGCTCGTCACCACCAAACGGAGAAACTAAACCGTCCGAACGCTCCAGGGTCGACCAGGATCGAGTGACCGGGGTGACCAGGCCACCGGGCGCGGCATCGGCCACGCAGGTGAACTTGCCGGCCGGGGCGTCTAAGAAGGTCACCCTGAAGCTTTGGGAGAAGGACGGGGAGCGACGAAGTCCGGCACGTGAGCCTTTTGATAGGGCCAGGTGACGGGTGTTTGAGGGATTGTATGAGATTGTGATGTGAATAAAGCACGAACAGTACATATTCAATTCAATCATTGTTTTAGTATGTTGTACTATGTATGTTTGTTTAGCATGCGTTACAGTCAGTAATTACGTTGTTATAGGTCCACAAGATCCAGAATTTCAATATCAACCACCTTTTCCAAAACCACTGTAAGACGTTATGCCAGGTAGATCCTAGCTGCCATCCTGCCTTTTGTGACTCCCGCCGTGTTTGGCATTTGAAACTCGCCAGCTTTTGCCAAACATGGAAGGATTTAAGCACCTACTCGGAGGAGAAGAAGGGATGGGTTTATTCCAAAGGACCATTCCACTTGCGTATTGGCTCATCGACGCTCGGTGGTGCCTTGTGCTTTTTTTTTTTTTCAAATCCGTGGGAGGCTGCAGGGAGTTTAGTGTCCAACTGATTTGACCAAGCTTCTCTCCTGGCAGAGTCAGCATCATCATCAAGCTTTGGGGGCACCCCAGTAAGATAGGAGTCCCACTCCCTGCAATTCTGGAGTCAATATTCATCGGGCCAGTGAGTAGTCATTCCTCACGTGGTGTTCTTTCAGTAGTTCTTATTGCCGTCTCAGACGTCTTCGGCCAAAAGCCGCACCAACTCCTTGCACGACCGGGGCCGCGCCAGTCTGCGCTCGCGTGCACGCTCGCGGCGCGGATCGCTCGTCCTAAGGAGCCGTGACATCCGACTCACGCGCTCCTTCTGAGGACTCCGATGCGTGCGTATAGAGTGAGAACGCGTGTCGCGTGTGTCGCGTGTGGGGGGAGGCGACCAAAGAGCAAGCCAAAACGAAGATGCCGCCAGCATGTTGCACGTCCGGAATTGATTCTAGGTGTTCTGAACGTCGACACTAGTGCAGGCAGATGCCGAACGATTTGTTTGGGCACAACCGGTACCAAGCACTTCCTAAAACCTCGTCGATTCTGTTGAGCAGGGTCAAGGCTTTGACCCAGCCACTTAGTGGTGCTTCTCTTTGCAGCACCAGGATCCTTTGATACTCGAGCTCGGCATCGCTTGGCTGGTGGAAGCTACGGACTGCTAGAGTTCTGAGTGCAGAGACATCCGAGAAGTCTGGGCAAGTTTGAGAGTGTCAATGGTCGTGTTGAAACGTTGTATAGCCATCCCCTAACAATTAACAATTGAGGGAAAGCTTCAACATGAAGGATTTCATTACCCCATTGCAGCTGCTGCAAGCCTGCTTTTTGTTGAAAGAGGGGCAGTCGCCGTTCTCGACACCCGACTGTAGCAATTTTCCATCCGACGGCCCTGGATCTGCATCTGGAGGCGTCTCTAGACCTCCATCCGGAGTTTGCGGGTGGATGGGAACGACAAGCAAGTTTTTGGCGCTGAGGCTCCTGAAAAAAGATTGATTTCTTTGTTAATGAGTTTTTAATGAAGTTTGATTCAAGCGGTTTTGGTACGGAATCCACATACCGGGCACTTAGTGGTTCCTGTGAGATTTCACGCTTTTGATGTTCGCATGGCTGACATGTGTTGTC